TTTTTAGTGTAGCACAATCATACATCTTCTGCGATTTCATGTTTCTCTCAATTAAGATAACTTCGAAGACTGGACAGGTCTACTATCGGAACAGAAACGCTGCGCAAGCAGATGATAATGTATGCCAACAAAAAAAGATTTGGAAAATTAATATGTCTACGTGAGCTCTTATACCACCACGTTTTAATCCGATTGTCTGCCCATTAATGACTGGTTGGCGTAAGTAAAACGTATATCCAATAATCGCCTTTTGGGCGCTGCTGGGCTGTGTCTTCTGTACACGTGCGCAGTAGCTCTTTTTCACGAAATATGAGACACTGCGCACGCGTCTAGAGCCCAGTGAGGCAGCAATTTTTGCCTGGGTGATAAGCACTGAAAAAGTCTATATAGGCGACGATAGGATTCGTATTCCATGGCCAACACCTTTGTCTTTTGGCGATTTCCCTGGGGAAGCTTTAACACTCAATATGCTCTAGCAGCCGAGTTTCGTGGAGATCTGTATACCTTGCACTGCAACGTTTGGTTGTAACGAAAGAGCGACTCCGAACAGGGGCCAAGTGAAACGAGAACGGGCTCAAACGATGACCACCCTCTTTTTATGACGTTCATAACGAGATAATTGTTATCCAACCGTGTGTTAATTAGTTTAAAAAAGTCTTAGCCTCACAATATATATCCTAGAATCGGAAAAAATATATGCTTGTTCCATCCGCACATATGTACAATAAACTTAGCGGAAGGCTCAATATTTATAACGTTATTAACCTGTACGATCAATAAAAGGGCGCTTAGTATATTTTCCTGAGGGGCCACATAATAAATGCGTTGAGCGTTTAATATACATATGTTAGTTTTAAAGTAACGAAAGCGGCACTGTTGATAAGATTCTGCGATGAATTGAGCAAAACCTCAAAACCGGGAACATTGTAATTTGTCTAGAATAGTCTCGTAATTTCCCTGATCAAGCGCTTTACGTCACCGTCACAAGGACAAGGCGGCAGTGAGTGACAAAGGGCTCACTATAAATCATGAATATCACTCCGAGATATCCAGGTATAATACAGATACCCACTTTTATTTTGTAGATCACGGGAAAACACACACAAAACAAGAACCCTGTTTGCGAGGCTTCAATCTTTAACAAAGATTAAATCATACAATGTTTGTAAACTCCGTGGGTAATAACATAGATGAGGATACGCTGTTAATAAATAAGGTTAATAGGGAGTTTTCGTAGACCGCGTTTCTTCTTCCGCTAGGCCCTCCGCAACGAAGAAGCCGCTATACTACGCTCGCGCGTCGATGGCCTTGACTGTATAGAGTTCCGGGAATCGTAGCGGGTTGCGGAGAGCGTTGCGGAAAGGCGAAAACGATTTACGAAAACTCCCTAATGTTGTCACGGCAGCGAAATCACCGGCCGCTATATACACGTAATATTTTATTGGAGTATAAGCTCCAAGAAGCCCCTACGTTCACACTATCCCACGACGCCCGCAGAACACCAATGAACCCGTTTTTAACTCGTTTCACATAAGAGCGACACCGAGCGGTGAAAGCTCGAAGTGCGGGCGGCGTTCGAGCATGAGCCGCTGCGCATGGGAGGGCCTGCGCGCACGCGGAACGCTTCTTGCAAAAGGTCCATTGTCAGCCACGCTGCATGTCTAGTCCCTCATAGGGCTGATGCCGTCTCAGCTTAAAGATGACGCGCGACAGTTCAACCTTCGAGACCGCATAGCCACTCGCGGACGATACCACAACGTTAACCGACAACGATACCAGTATGCATGCGCAGAGACACGGGCGGAGTATCGGCGAACAATAGGGAGTTTTAGGGAACCGTTTTTGCGCATCCGATACGCTACGATGGGTCCTCCTGTACGAACCGCGCATATACGAGTCTTCTGTGGCAGCGCATGCGCAGTTCGTACCGGAGGGCCTATCGTAACGTATCGGATGTGCGAAAACGGTTCCCCAGAACTCCCTAAAGGAACTGCTGTCACATGACCGGTGAAATGCTAGTTAGATCCGATATTGATTGGTTTGGGGCTGGTTACACGGGTTTAAAACCGAAACTAAAATTATTATTCAAATTTTTTAGTCGCTTGAAGCATTGCAAGTTAGAGCGTCTATGTTACGAACCATTTCTTAAAATTCGGATAATAAATAAATAAACACTCTCAAGAGGCTTTCGTGTCAAAGCCAGACACTGGCAGCCACATATACTAAATTGACAGTGTGATCAACTATTGCCCGCTTACCGAAACCTCAAAATGATTGAAATTTTTTTATAATTTTCTGTTAAAGTCTATGCTTTATTTACACCCGAGTTATTGCTTTATACCAGCAATACCTGAAAGAAGAGTAAATGCGCGGGCGAGTTGGTGGGTTTAAGCCTGAGACGTGTGAGGAGGAAGAAGACACAGATTGGTCTCTGACAAAATCAAAGGAACCGTGCAACGATTTTAAAGGAGCAATGCAACAATTTTTGTACTCTGCGCAAATACCGCTTAAAACGGATCCCTAATGTTAATGACCTACGAAACACGCGTTCGTTTTTCACCCCACGCAGTAGAAGTCCCAGAAAAAAATTATCTAAAAAAAAGTGAAAGCCGTTTACAAATCCCTGTAACGCCGAATTGGAGCGCAGCTCTTGAGGAGGAGGAGTGAAGGGTACTGAGGGGAGGGTAGACCCCTCCTCCTCCCCTCATTCTTTAATATGCTCCGGGGGGGCCGTCACGTGACCTCGGGGGGGGGGGGTGTCACGTGACTTCGGGGAGGGGGGTCACGTGACCTCAGAGGGGTCACGTGACCTCGGAGGGGTCACGTGACCTCAGAGGGGTCACGTGACCTGGGGGTCACGTGGGGGTCACCTTGGGGTCACGTGACCTTGAGATGCCCTTGGGAGGGGTCACGTGACCTTGGGGATCACGTGACCTTGGGGAGGAGACCACGTGACCTCGGGGGTCACGTGACCTCAGAGGGGTCACGTGACTTGGGGATCACGTGACCTTCAAAGGGTCACGTGGGGTCGTGGGGTCACGTGACCTTGAGATGACCTTGGGAGGGGTCACGTGACCTCGAGGGGTCACGTGACCTTGGGAGTCACGTGGGGCCACGTGACCTTGAGATGACCTTGGGGGTCACGTGACCTTGGGATGACCTTGGTTACGCCGACGGCGACGCCGACGGCGACGGCGACGGCGACGCCGCTCAAGCCGGGAACGGGCCCCTAAGAGCTGCGCTCTAAAACGAGCAGCGTTTACCCCCTCAACTCGCAGCCAGAACAAGCGGCCATGTGATCTGTAGCCGATTATATGCCGCCAGTGTTGATCATAGCCACGCGGTGGGGTTGGCAAAGCGCAGGGCACGCGCTGAGTTCCAGACATTGTTATGGCTCGGCTGTTGTCGTCGTTGCAGCGATTGGACACGGGTCACAACCCGAATGCTTCTCGAGCTAGCAATTGTCACGAGCCCAAGTCGAGTGCCCACGCAATGCTCGGGTCCAATCTATGAACCGCATTCAAATATCGTCACTTGGGTGTACTGCGATCCCCGAGTTACGTCATCAAATTTTGCAAGGGAAAGATTGAATGAAAATGATCGCTTTTGTCCTTGAAATTACACCGCAACAAAGGAGTTTCTTGGCCAATGGCGCTGCGTGTGAGTATCCTTGAGTCCCAGGTGTGCCAGTAAGCTCATGTAGAGAGAAAAACATTCCAACTGAATATCGTTGCACAGCTCCTTTAACGTTGAAAGAATTTGCATCTGCTACTTTTGACATTTTTTATCTTATCTGAAAGGACAGAAACGCAGCTCCTTCCTTCGAAATGTCCTAACTCTTCCTTTCCGTACTTCTTTCACGTCACAGCGCACGTGAGTTGGAAGATGCTGAAGGAGTTGAGAGGTGCCGAAAACCTCAATCTTTGTCCATTTTTTTTTTCAAATAAAATTTACGACATGCAGGAAAAAGCGTTTTTTTTTTTTTACTTCAGGAAGGTCGAGACACCAACTCCCAAATTATTTAGGCAGAGCACTGAAATTGTTGCACAGCTCTTTTAAGGTTCTACTTGACAACAAAAATCTTTCATTGGTACAGTGCCCTCAGCCAACGCCTGAACAATCCATGCCGAGGTCAGTTCTTCGAAGCTCTAACTCCAGGGAGACAAAATGATGCGCCAGCTCGCCTCCAATGCCATTAGCGCCTACTGTCAAAAGTACCATAGGAGTAGGACTAGCACTTTTCTCGAGAGAGACGCTTTAGTAGAAAGATAATTTGCGGTGCCGCGTGGCACGAAGTGCTTCTCCGTTTAGGAGATTGTCCTTTCTACTAAAGGAGCTTAAGCGGTCCGTACAACAGGGGTGTTGCACATCGATTGGTCGGCAGTTGAAGACCCGGTTCACGAACAATCCGTTCGGTGCTGTGTGTAATGTGCGCCAGCAGGAGGGTCATAAATGCTATGCATTAGAGCGCCTTTGGGAAATGCCAAAAGGCAGCCAATACTTTTTTTTTTTCAAAGCATGAAATGCTTTTTAATGCTAGCCACCATCAAAAAACCTTTTCCGTCCGTCCATCCGTCTGCCCGTGCTTTTCCCTCTAATTTAGCGGGAAAATTGACGTCTCGTGGCCAAAATATCAATTCAGTTTCCCCGCTCAATTTAGAGGGAAATAGATGTCACGTGACACAGCAATTCTCGCACCCATTCCCTTCAATCCATTTCATGCATCATAGAACTTTTACGGCCTAAGTCAGTGCGATTTTCTTAATCTATGTATACATATAAAAAACAACTTAAGTTTTTTTTTTTTTTTAGGATGACCAGTGAGTGGTGTTCCGAACACATCGCGGTGTGGAGCCACGCTCACGACCTTTTGAGAGTGCAGAGGTGAGTAACGTTCTCCACATGCTGGTGCATGCGGGGGGAGTGTGCGAAAGCATCGCCTCAAGTCTCAACCCATCGGGGACTGGAACGGGGGATTTGTCCTATTCCCTCTCTGGCTTTCATCCGATCAAGTTGAGGAACCCGGAAGGAGACGGGTCGTGGTCCTCCCTGATCATGGCGGCTCCCTTCTCGGCGATCATGTACGTGGGCGCGTTCAGGTTGGCCGTCACGATGCTCGGCATCACCGAGGCGTCGATAACGCGCAGACCCGTCACTCCACCGCGGACCCTGTACGGGCAGAAGAAGAGAAAAAGTTCAGTCTCCAAGTTTTAGAAGCTGGGTTTGAGGAGCAAAACACGAAAGGCCGCTATTCAGGGAGTTGCAGAACGTTGAAAAAAAACAAAAACATTTGTACTAATATCATTATCAGAAGCATATGTGATCTCTCAATGAGTTCGTGTCAAAAGAATGTACTGTCGAGACCGGTTATAACAAAGTCGGTTATAAGGAAAAAGCGACTACAGCGAAGTGATCACGATTTACCATTCCCTTTTGCACTTCGTTATAACCGAAGTCGGTTATAACGAAATAGCGGATATAGCGAACTGATTTCCGATTCCCGCTGACTTCGTTATAACTGGTCTCGACAGTAGCAATGTGTTTCGGAGGAACAATTTAAACATTCTCTTTTCTTAAACGGTTGTTTTAAGCTTCCCATTACAAAAAAAAAAAAAGAAAAAAAAACGAAAAAAAAACGGCAGTAGGCTTTGTTTAGATAAGATCATGCACAAAACATTTTGCGAAAAACATAATATTTAAAGAGAAAAAAAAAGTGTTGAGTGCGCCAGAGCGGCATGTTTGATTTTTGAAGTTTTCGTATATGTCATGTTTGGTGACACCTACTACGCAAAGTACAAATATCAGAAATCTGAAATGTTCTTCACTGATATTACATTAAAGGAACTATTCAGTGAAATATCTACACTACACCATTGTGGAGGTTATATATTTCACGTGAAAAATACGCAAACATGGCGAATTTGACGTTCTGTCGCTAGATGTTTGAGTCGTTATCTACAAAAATTGAATACCTACAGCATTAAAATTTGTGTCATATATTTTTATTAAAACGTTATTTCGAATGATATATAAATCATTGCTTCATCTCAAAGATTAAAATTTTTATGTCACTCCAAACTTGTTTTAAATTACAAAGTTAGGAATTATCAAGGGTCAATTTAAAAAATTCATTTTCGATTTTTCTGAAATTTATACTGATAGTTCTTAACCATACTCACGTGTTTATTAACGAGAAACATATTGCATCATTTTGTTCCCTTCAAAGTTACAGCGCTGCGAAGTGTACCTTCCCCGCCGACATTTTTCCCAATGTCACAGACGAGATTATCTTTTGATTGTTTGTATTTTATTAGATATCTTTTGTTTTGTATTCGGGTATTGGGCTCATTTTCAAGTATTATACTAACCGAAAGAACACCCGCATTGCTCGTCCTTTTTATTAATTTTCCCAACAAGCCTGTTTTGTCCTTTAAAATGGCAAGTTCTATGAGCTTTAGCTGAACGTTTTCCGAAAAAGCAGGACGAAAACTTATAATCGCTACTACTGCATTTTTTTTTACAGAAAGCAATAAAGAAGTATTTACAGCGGTGCAAACTATATGCTAATATTTATTCGTATATTCGCGATGAAGTGGGGATGGTTGAGCCACCAAGCTTGTTACACTGCTATTCATGACGGCTATTGGTCCGGCTGACCAAGGTAAGCAAATAAACAAAGAAGACAAATGGGTTGGTGAAAGTGCAAGAATCAAAGAAAGAATAAAAACACTTAGGGACAAGGACAGACGGCACGGTTCATTCAACTAGCAACGAACATTTACTGATGTCTCCTTCAATACGTACAATCGTGTCACCTGCGACTTCACTGGCAGGCTTTCAGCGAGACGTACGTTAAGAGCAAAAATTATAATTATAAAATTATTTGTAATTATTTATTTCGTTAAAAAAACATCAAATAAAAAAAAATTATGAAATAACGAGTAAACATACCGAGCGCACTATAGTTGCCCGCGTTCGCAGGAGGGCGCCTTGGGAAGTTCGTCTTTTGTCCCCCCTCAAACCTAACTGACCAATTTCGCGACGCACTAACCTGTGCTGCAATAATTCCAACGAATGCGAAAAGAACATTCAACTCCGAATGTGGCTAGAAATAGGGAATGCACGAACTGGAGGATTTTGCCCGATTCTCTTCGGGGAATTGACATCCAAATCTTACACACTGCATCAATTTTTCTGCTATATATTTTTTGTGCTTATTAAGATATATCAGCACAAAATATTTTATTGACACTGTAAATCGCTGCCATGGCTGAAGACGTTCTGTCAAGACACGGGACTGGCAACCACTTCGTTTGTTAATGACCGCAGCGCGCGTGTTGTCTTGTCTAACGATCACTCCGCGACGTCCCGAAAGCATGACAGGAGAGAGAAAGAAGGAAAGATAATGCGTTATTAGCTTTTCTGTGAAGCAAGGTACAGAGTAAGCACGTGGCAATGAGTTCCTCTGAAAAGAAAAGTGCACCAGGAGAAAGCGGTCGATAATTGCGTGTGCTCTGCGGTCCATGGGGCCGTCTCTGGTTCCCGTAAAACCCCCCTTCAGGTTCACGAGGGAGGCCGACGCCGGCTTGTGGGGTTTGCCTCCTGTATGAGCTGCCGCCTTTCTGATTTGGCGCTGATTAGGTTGGTACAGCTATTATTACGCGCGTCAGTATATTTGCCAATATACGATAGTATATTGGCAAAAGTGTTGCTTAACATCGGTGACGCCGGCGAGTCAAAGCGATGGCATGTCCCTCTACAAACTGCGAACACGTGCCCTTCAAACCTCGTGACTTTAAAATTGGCTTCATGGATGGTCGTGTGGGTCTTTAGTCTTGGCGGCCTTGCTTTGCTTTCCGATCGGTCACGTCGAACGATGCAAGGCGAGACAACAGCTTCCGCATCGCTACAACACCATACATCGACAACGTGATTATACATTGTTTTGCCAAGATAAATGCAGGCCTTTTGTCTGCTGTTCAAGCCGCAGCGTTTTTTCAGGAATGCTGCGGCTTTGATAAAGTGGCAATCGGTTCGTGCATTCCTTTGTTGCCACAATCGGAGTTGACCAATTTTCTCGCACTCGTTGGAATTATCGCAATACATGTGAAGGCTCGTTCACACACGTGTAACCAGGTACGACCGAGAGAGACAAGATCGGTTTTTAAGCCTCTTGTGACGTCTTAGAACCGGATGCGATGCTGCCGAGCTGGTCCTAAAATATCGTAAGAGACTTAAAAATCGGTCTGGTCTCTCTCGGTCTTACTCGGTTGCAAGTGTGTGAACGGCGCTTGAAGGCCCGTTCACACTCTTGCGACCCAGTAATACCTAGAGAGACCAGACCGGTTTTTGAGCCTCTTGAGACGTCTTAGGACCGGATGCGCTGCAGCGGAACTGGTCCTAAGAAGTCGCAAGAGGCTTAAAAACCGGTCTGGTCTCTCTCGGTCTTACTCGGTCGCAAGAGTGTGAACAGGCGCCTTAAGACTCGAGCGTAGTTCACACACTTGCAACCGAGCAAGACGGAGAGAGACAGGGCCGGTTTTTAAGCCTCTTATGACGTCTTAGGAGCGGATGCAATGCTGCGGAGCTGGTCCTCAAACTTCGTAAGACTTGACGTCGTTACTTGACCCTCTAAGTAACTATGTACTTTACTAGTTCATTTTCTAAAAAAAAGTAACTAAATAGGTTGCTCGTTAAAGAAAAAAAGTTAACAAAGTATGAAGTAACTCGTTACGTGCATGTCTGGGCCTCAGTCGGTCGCTAGTCATGGTGGCCAAACACTAACTTTGTGCAGGGTATGCGCTGAGAAACTGAGGGAGACGACTTACGAGAGCGTGTGGGGACGTCAGAACGCCGAGCTTTGGTTGAGACGGTTAGTGGGTAGATGCCTTTGTCTGCACTGCACTCGTCGAAGGCATTAAGGGCGTTTTACCGACCGAGTGCAACAGCAACGCCTTGCGACGTACGGGTTGCTATGGCAACAGCTGCGTCGGTTCCAACAAAACCGGTCCAATACCCCGTTTTTTTGGAGCCAACGCAGATGTTGCCATAGTAAAGGCGCGTTCACACACTTGCAACCGAGTAGGACCGACGGAGACAAGACCGGTTTCGAAGCCTCTTGTGTCGGCCTAGCACCTCCTCCGCAGCAGCGCATCCGGTCTTACGCCGTCGCAACAGGCTTAAAACAGGTCTTGTCTCAATCGGTCCAACTCGGTTGCTAGTGTGTGAACGGGCCTTAACCCGCACGTCGAAAGCCGTTGCAGCCGTGCTCGATCGGACTCCCGCAAGTGTGTGTACTGTTATGACCCGTCTCCATCTCCCTGTGCTTGTGAGGATCGACCTTGCATTCTGGTGCGGACAACGACCAAGCGAACACGGTTGGCGTGCGATCCGAACCCTTTTTGCACGTTCGACCGAAACCGGAGAAGCGTTTCTCTCGGGCCTCGGCTCAAGGGCATCAGAACCGACGTTGCCGTCGGTGTGCTCTGCCTACGGCGTCTACATTGCGCGGGGGCGTCTGCATTCCACGGAAACGCCAGACAGAATCCCAACCTGAACAGATGGGCAGTCTGTTGTGTCTGCGTCTACCGCATACAAGACAAGCGCCTACTAGTCGCCCTCAATTCGGAGAAGAACAACGACCGAACATTGGGGCCGAGAGGAGGAGGCTGACGTCGAGGCCAACTTTGGAATGCGGCGTTAACCAACCAATGGCACGGCAGCTCCAGAACCCCGATTTTCTTATATAAGGACCTGTTCGCTGCCCATTCGGCGCGCTCCTTTTGCCAACATGCTAAACGATATACCCATGTAAATAAACTAGTTTTCTGTTCTGTTAAGTTTTCCCGGTCTGTTTCCCCGACTGTCTGGCTGGGACGTTGTTCGCGAGAAAGGTTGGACGCCAGCGAGATGGCCATGCTACCCGAGAGACCAGGCTGGGCGTGGACTCATAACAGCTGGATGGCAGCGGTGGGATGCTGAACAACGCGGATCAAGACCCCCCCACAGACTCCACGAACCGATGACCACACATGTGGGTGAGTGTTCGGCTTTTGTCCCTAGAGACACACCAGGCTTTCGCTATATTTAATTGTTTTGTTAGACGAAGCGGGTGGTTGAGATTATTCTGAGGCGTGGGTTTTAAAGAAGCCGTCAGGATAGTAACAGAG